TAAGAAAATTGAAAAACTGGAGCCATAGTTGATTGTTGAAAACAGGAGAACCGCACAGGCAACATCTATGGTGACACAGTAGCGATGAAATATGTTTTGCTTTAGTTTAATGGGAATGATTCTTACATAATAATAAGTAGGAGGCAAATCCGTTTCGTGCAGCCTAGAGAGTGAGACCTCATTTACAGTAAAAAAAGGTACATGAGAAAACTTTGGAATAAAAAAGATAAGTTGAAGAATCTAAAACACTTCGAGGTTATGGTACAACCTAGATATGGGATACTTGTCTAAAAACAAAACATGTGATGATAGGATTATGAGCCAGGTAAAAGAAAATAACACGGCTCACACTTAAGAAACGATGCCATGTCAAAATAACGAATACTAGAGCTAAACACGTGAAAATTGCGTAGTGCGAGAAAATAATGAAATGTCCACACTACGTTCGTTTAAGACTTTGCCATCTCCAGCAAACACAGAAACAGGAAAATATGGCTTACTTACCAGTCACCCTCTGAACGAAGGGCTTGGCAATCCTCTGGAGAGCAGACATTTTGCTGATTGTTGGAGTTTTAACAGCGAAAGATGAGCGCTGGAGACGTCTGCTCTAAACTTGAGATTTTTCTCAAGGAGATTTGTACAAGAGCTGTGAGACACAATAGCCAACACACCAATCCAACATCAAAAGTTATTTTAAGTTACATTAGAAAACACGAAGTAAAACATGAATTATTAAAACAATTTGAAGATATTGGTTGTTTTTATTTATTAAAGTAAAGCTTCATTTTATCTTACATACAATTTGTTGACTGTTTAATTTAATTGTGCAGGTTGGTGTCATTCGTATGTCACGCCCTTCGTAACTACAGAAAGGCGGTTCAAAAAATACTGCTTTCAAAGAAACAAATTCTTTTCTTAAATTTGTTCATGCTTTTTCAGTTTTTTTAATGATAACAAATAGTGCTTGAAAACAAAATCCCCTCTCTCTCAAATAAATTTCTTAAAAAAACTAATGTCGGATGAGAAATTGTCAAACCAAAACACCATAGCGACGCGACGGTGGCGCCAAGCTGCTGTTGTGTTTTTCTGCTGCATTTGTGTTGTCTTCGCAGGGTTTGAATCTGCAGGTGTTTCAGAAGTAATTATTTCGCCAATGAAAAAATCTCTTTGGTCGATTAAATTGTAGGAGGTGCCAATTCAATCCAGATACACGTGTTGAAATTCTGTGACTGTGAAACACAAGGCTTTGTAACCTTCGTCTGCTTGTGTTTTTGACATAAGGTGTGTACATTTGGTTTTTCTTTTAAAATTTACTCCATTCGTTTGCATTGAATTCTATTCCAATCATTGTGTATATTTATTCCTTATGTGTCTCATTGTATGTGACTTTACACTCCTCCAGGCATTCAAACTTGCTTTTTTGGCGCACCTTCTGTTCCTCGAAAAATGGGTACTAGAAAGAAGTCAGGAGGCCCAAAGTTTGAGTTGAGCGCAGAACAGCGAGCTGATATTAAAGAAGCTTTCGACCTATTTGACACTGAAGGAAAGGGCAAGATAGAGACTAAGGAACTAAAGGTTTGTTTGGTTTTCTGTATTAGGCCTAGTTTAACTTTATAATTAACTTTTTTGTCTATAATCTGCTTTTTTGAGACTAAATCTTTTGTTTACACTGCTCTTTTGTGGGATTGTCTTTGCGGTGTAGGTTGCCATGAGAGCCCTTGGATTCGAACCGAAGAAAGAAGAAATCAAAAAGATGGTTGCTGAAATTGATAAAGATGGCACAGGTAAACTATTTCTGTTACTTGTTTCCTTCTTCCACAAGTATTTTAGTATCTTATTATTAGTTCCTGTCACCCTTGGATGATTATCGCAAATCAAATGAATCTTAGTACACCATTAACTTTTCCTTTTTTGTTTAGGTACTCTATCTTTTGAAGAGTTTCTGAACCTAATGACTACCAAAATGGCCGAGAAAGACACAAAAGAAGAGATTATGAAGGCCTTTAGGTTGTTTGATGATGATGAAACTGGGAAAATATCATTTAAAAATTTGAAGAGAGTAGCAAAAGAATTGGGTGAAAATTTGACTGATGAAGAACTACATGTATGTTTAAACTTTTATGTTCTAAGGATTGTGATTATGGATATTTGTTTATTCCTAAAACTTCAAATATACTTTCAGGAAATGATTGAGGAAGCAGACCGAGATGGAGATCATGAGATAAGTCAAGAAGAATTTTTGCGCATTATGAAAAAGACCAGTTTGTACTGATCATTAATCATCAGCAAGTATAATATCTACGTTGTATTTTCAAGGCTTTTCTCTCTTCGTCTTTGCTGAATATGTTGTTCTTTCCAAGAGGAAGAGCTGTGAAAATCATATTATGTGGTCTAAATTTTCTTAGATATAATGCTGTTACCTAGGTTGAGCTTCCACATGTTTTAAACGGGTACCAATCAAAAACTAATTTGATTTTGACTATTTTGTGTCCAGTATTAATGAAAAGTGTTTGTCTAACACATTTTAGTGTTTTAAATGTGTCAATTGTATTCTATATTATCATGCCATATGATTTTATTCCTCTGTGATTCCTTTTCCCTAATGATGTTTGCTGGTTTCAGCTGCTACATTTTCTGGGACCGCCCTCTCAAATTCTGATATATATACCTTATATTATAAATTAAAAGTTAAACTGTTATGCTTTGTGGCACAATGATTTGTTGTATTGACCAAAGACGTAAAGTGGATGAGAGCACTGTTGTGCTAGGTACATTCCAGAGGAGTGCAAACATTATTCCTAGCTTCCTAGAGAATCTTTCTGATTTAAGGTTTTCTTCTCTGTACAAAAGAATCCCTCCCACTCTTGAACATATCCTTACCTATATTTAAGTCTTTTTATTTTACTGAGTTGAAGCATATTTTTGTGGCTCATGTATGGAGAGCAAAATCTAAGTGTATTTTTCCTTTATATATCTGTTGGATTCCCAGAATGTTTCGGATGTAGAGGTTTTGCTATAAATTCTACTTGACTTTTCAACTTTTTTCACTGCAGTTCTACACATCTAGTCATGCTATGGCGATTTTAAAATATTCTGATTTTTTTTCAGGCTTCCAATTATGATTCTATATTTTGAGAAAATTTTACAAGTCGAAGGTTCTGAAATAATTCTTTCCTCTTTTTTTAAGTGTTTGTTTTTCAGTTTGTCTATTTTACAAAATTATTGAGTTTTATGTCGAACCTTTCATTACTTCTCAACAAAATGTCATATTTTTGATTGCTCTTGCCTTGTTAGTTGTTAATGTGTGTGACGTAAATATTTGTTCAAACTGAGCCTGCTCAGATTACAGTACTATTACGAATGTCGATGAAGTGAGTGGTCTCTCATTTAAATTAAATAAATCGTTTATTCCTCTAACTTTTTTAAACATTTCTTTTCTCCCTCGGCTCGGCGGCATCCAATCGTACTTCCCCCTCTAGGCCCTGCACCGCATCCGCATGCTGCTGTGCCGCCTGCTGCTGCTGAGGGCGGCGGGCCGGGCGGTGTGGTGGGGAGCCAGCTGATTGGGGGGAGGGGAAGGGGGACGGCGAAGGGGAAGTAAACAAAACACAGAGCCGCTGCCTCAGGCCAAAAACGTCAGTTGGAGCTGGACGGCGAGTCAGTGCTACAAGTCGACAGTGGACACTACTTGAGAGATTGTGCGCTTGGCCGACGGCCCGTTCACTTGCCGCGATCACGCCAGAGTCACAGGCGAGCGCGGAGCGGATCAGCAGAAGATCGCGCGCGGGCTGTGCGAGGGTCGGGGATCGAAGTCTCCTCCGTCGTCAGGCCGCAGTGCGAGCAACGAGCCTCACCGGCGGTGTTCTTGCCCTCGACTTTTTCTTCGCCAGGAACGGTGAGTAGCGCTTGTCGTGGACATTGTGTACTTTGCTGGACCTTTTCGGTGGTCTTCCCGACGTTGCGCCGCAGCGGTGGGGCTTCGGCCTTCGGCTCGCGTCAATCAATGAAGCGCTGCCTACGCGCCGCTAGCGCCGACCAGCCGACCAGCCGCGGGGAATTTCCAGAGGGATTGGCGCCACTTCTGTAAACGCTAAAAATCGTGACAATATCGACGCGATTCGGCAGGGTTCTGGGGCATTGGCGATTGAGGTTAAGCCGCGAGATTTGACAGGGTAGCCCACCGCGACCCATACGGGCGCCCACGACGTTGCCGGACTTCTCGCTTCCAGAGAGTTCCCCCCGGATGCAGCAGCGGGAGGAGAGGGGGTAGAGCCCTTGCACGGGTTGCAGTCTCCCCTCCCCCCCTCTTCTTTCGCTCTACGTATTTCTTCTTTCTCTGTTGTATGTGTAAGGCAGCGGCTCCTTATTCAAAAGCAACGCTCTTATTGCACCCAAAAGAGAGGTTTGGAGCATAGCGTCACGGCGATTTTATGAACTTTCTAAATCAGGTAGTACAATCGCATCGACCCGCCGCGGTGGCCGCGGTGACGACGAGAGGGGTAGGGTAGGGGTGCGGCGCGGCGCGCGAAACGCCTTGGAGTCTTGGAGTTCGGCCAGCTGATTCCCTGCCGCTCGCGTGCCCCGCGTGCAAGGGGAGGGAGGGGGAGGGGGGGGGGGAAGCACCAACGCTCGTATATTTTTATTATTGCTGCGTACCTCAGCGTAAGTAAGTTTGTCGCTGGGCTGTGACGCATCATGCGTGGCTACAAAATAAGCTGAATGCCTTCATGACGGGACACAGCGAGCGGGATAGACGATGATGGATGTTGCAGCGCCCACGGCCGTTTTTTCCTCGGGGTGGGGGTGGGATCGGATCGGATCGGAGGTGCAACCAGTGTGAATATTTATCGGCGCTTGTGAATCAGAATAAAAGTGGCCGCAGAGTCAGAGGCAGCTCTTCTTCTTCTTTTTTTTTTTAAGTAAGAGGGAGATCTATACTTTTGCGAAAGATACCCATATCTTTCTAGGAAGTTTGCCTTTCTTCCGTTCAAACATGCGCGGAATGTCTTGGCTGCGTCTTTTGCTGATACCGGGTGGTATTCGAAAAGACACGATGTACTCGCGCGCGCTCGAGGGGTCAAGTCCAACGGTCCGACAGCGCCAATTAGATTAAAATTAATGAACTCGCGTGAGATAAAGGGGTCGTACTGATTGGCCTTCCCCCTCGTGGCACGAGACGGACGCGTGCGCCTTCTGGCAGTATGTCAGCCGGCCGGCAGGGCGGGGAATCCGTCGGCCATCCGTGTGTATATCGGCAGGGCGATTAAATCAGGTGTGGGTTTAAGGACACTGTGTAAAGTCCGCCGAGTGTGTACTCGCTCGCGCCGTGCATCGGTGGCGCCGCGCTGCTGCTGCCTGGCACCGGGAGCCCGCGCATAAATAGTAACGTGCCGGTAGCTGTGTGAATCTGCGCGCCTTGCCGCCTGCTGGGCGCGCCGCCAGCGCAGCGCAAGCGGCCTGTTGTGGTCAGGCTGGTCAGACCTGCCATACCAGGACCCAGCATGTGGCGCCCGCGTGTGTCGTGTTTGATGCTGCTGGGGCTCACGGGCACGACACGGTCCTCCTATCGGGGTGAACCATCGCCCGCTAAGTAGCCCACAAGCGCCACGCGGCTGTGTCTGTCATCCGCCGACCAGACTGGCCCTGCCACGCTGCACCACGCCGGCCTCGACGCCGGCTGTGCTCTGCCAACGCAGCGCATTTTGGCGCTCGCTCGCTGTTCGGGCGCGGCGCCCATGCGGCAACTGCGTGGCGCGTTTCAAGTGTCAAAACTGTTGACTTTATAGCGGTATGCGACCGAGGCGTGGGTAGGGAACCCCACGGCACCCGTGGGTGGCGGGTCGCGGGTGTATGTCCAATGTCTAGAGGCCAAACGCCTACGAGGTGTGGGTAGGCAACCCCACGGCACCCGTGGGTAGCGGGCGGGTGTATGTCCAGGAGCTAAGCGCCTGCGAGGTGTGGGTAGGCAACCCCACGGCACCCGTGGGTAGCGGGCGGGTGT